TTGTTTTTTAAAAATTTTTTTTTTTTTTTTTTTTTTTTTTTTTTTTCTGTTGTGTTTTCCTAAACAATCCATTGTGGTAGAATGCTGGCAATTTTTTTACCTATTTAGCAGTAAATTCATTGCTTACTTATTAGAGAATTATCTGAGGATTGATTTTATGTGTCTAAAACTTTTTCAGAGCTGAACAAATATATTAATGCATTTAGAATAAACTTTGACTAAACATTGAAAAATCTTTTTTGAAAGACAAACTAGATTCACGTTCAATTTTGTAGAAAAATGCTGACATAGTGGGGAAATGGGAAACTTTATTACAGATGGTTTTACTTTAGAAAAAGTGTTTATGGACCATCTGGGAGGGAGTGGATTAAAATAAAGATAATTGCCTTTAATATAGTCATAAACATAATGGTTTACCCTCTTACGGGTTTTGAAAAGGAGTCTTTTGACTTCTTTGAGTTAGTATTCAAAGAACTTCAGAGAACTAAAAGCGTTCCGAAGAAGCAAGTGAATATTGAAGAACATCATGGCTTTGATTTAAGACTACAAAGATTTACATTTAATTCTTAAGTTATAAATCTTCAATTAAATTGCATCAGAAAATGTCTAAGTCCTGTTTTACTGAGTGTAGTTGTGCAACAGAATTTATTTGGAAACCAGAAAAAAAAAAAAACATTTGGAAATAGATAAGAATGTTAATTCTGTCTAATGTTCAATAAGATTTGAAATTATTTGTGCTCTTTTAATCTGTTCAGGATATCCACAGTCAGTTGTGGGTTGGTTTTTTTTTTTTTGAAACAAATCTCTCGTGTTACAGGAGAGATTCAGGAACAGGAGGCAAATATAAGCATTAGGGGTCGTAGTAAAGTATTGGTTAACATTCTTAGTGTTGTATGAAGAGCTTTTGCATATCATAAATACCCCTTACTGCTAACTCAAAAAATGTCACCTCTAGAACATAAAGATTTACTGGAAAGTAAAGCAGAGATGTTTTTTCATTGAGATCTTCTGTATCTTTTCACTTGGTGTCTGTACTGAAGTATTATGAACAGTGTATTTTACACCCAGTTCAAAGAGACCTCCTGACGTTATTTGATTTGGTAATATGGAAGAAGTATGATATTTTTATGAAGTGCAGAAAAACAGCTAGTGAAGAAAATCAAAACCAAATGGAAGCCAAATTTTCTTCCTCCAGCTGAGCTCAGCTTTGCTTCCCTCCTATTTTGAATTGCTGATGCTGTGGATTCTGTTACTTTGCTAAAGGTGGATAAGTGAGGAATATGACAAGAACTTTTGCTAGCCTGTTGACTGCTGTGCTGCTTTATTGAGGATTTAAGAGAATTATTGGTATATGTTTGATCAGTAATTCCAGTATAACCTCTCTTCCTTTGTTGGCAAGTCAGTCCTTTTCCTCAGCAGTTATGATGCCTGCTCAATTGAGTGTTGGGTCAAGAGATCAACTGAAATTCAAGAGTTGCATTTGCTAGGATTGAGGTGAAACTTTACTACAAATAGCAAGGATAACTTTCTAAAACGTTTGCACAAATAATGCAGTCTTGTCAGTAACAATTTATATTAGAATGGTGTAAAGATCAATGTCTGGTTTACCTGAAGGATTTCGTATGGAATAAAATACTTCTGGGCTTGAGTATTTTTTCCCTTTTACTGGAAGAAGGGATGAGAATGACTGAAATATCCGAAGATTACTTTCCGTGTGACTCATTCACTTGGGAAACCTTAGCCTTAGCCTTACTCTGTTAAGCAGAGTCTGCCCTTTTCTCTGGAAAGGAACATAAGAGAAAACCACAAATGCCAGAGTGGCATTAACTTGTCAAAAATCAAGGCATAATCGATAACTCTTCTTTGCGTTAGGAATCCAAGAGAGGCATGCAGGAATTCAGAGTATAAATTCTCAGAAAAATGGAAAAAAAAAAAATCTATCTACCTACGTAATTTAAAAAAAAAAAAAGACAGGAGGGGGGAAGGAAAACGTTCATGTCAAATTGTATTATTTCCTTCTGCTTAATGTAGCCTTTTATTAAAGATTCTAGGAAATGGACTCAAGGAAAATAGATACTTACGTTAAATGATTTTAAAAATCCAAAAAGGATGCTGTCCTGCTTATACAACATCTTAATTTCATTTAGATTGCTAAGGATATATTTCTTCCTCTGCTACTCTTTCAATCTCCAAGAAAAAAGTATTGTCTTTGCAGCAGAAAAGGAGCGGAATAACAAACAACATATTCTTTTTTCTTTCTTGACCATTTTAAAGCCTGACTTTTGAAAAGAGAACTTTAGAAACATACAAAAATAGTCAGAAGGAAAGAGGAAGTGATTTTTCTAAATAACAGAGAAAAGCTTTTTAGTGAGATACTTTGCCCTAAGATAGATCGTGTGACAGATAGTGTGATCGTTTATCTGCAGTGATGACTCTCAGAGTGAACGTCTGTTGCTTACCTAAAATGAAAGATTCCAGAAACATTGAGGCTTGTGTCATACACAACTTTCAACAGTTAGATACTATTTGCTGAACCAATGAAATTAAAATCAGACAAGACATCAAGATCTAACAGGCAAGGTCACAATTTATGTAAATGCCCACAGAGATTGAACTGAGTAGAAGAAAAGTTTGTTAAATTGTTTGGAAATTTGCAAAATTTAAAAACAAACAAAAAATTATTTTAGGTGAAAAAATAAAGTACATCATAAAAAATATGCAAGACCTGTACACACCTGGAGTCCTCTCATAAAAGTTTCACTTGTATGTCGGTTAATCTTTTAGGTTGATTGTATTTTAAAGTCTTCCATACTTAAATCAGCCATGATAGGAAGTGTTGTAATTACATAGTATTTCAAGAATACTAATAATTGTTTCTTCTGTGCTGTTATTTGAATTTCATTCTTAAATCTTAAAGATATTGGCAGAGGATGTGTACGTCACTGCCTTGTGGCCAGCTTTGAACAGTTTATTTATGTTTAGAAAATTTTGTATAGGTTAGGAGAAATCTTCAGCTATTTTATTAGGCAGAGACAGAGAAGTCATCACAAGAAGATTTCTTAGTTGTTTCTATTTTAAAATATAATACAGATACATGTACATGTCTAGGACAAATATGAAAATTTGAGTATGAAAAATGAGTATGACTTAGGGTTTCTTTTGTTAGTTTTTTCTTAAGCAAATTTAATTTCATGATATTTCTTAATGAAAAGATTTGTCAAAGTTCCGTTGTGGAGATGGTGATTATAATTCACAAACAGTTGCAATCTTCAGCAGTTACTCACTGTAACTCACTTCTCTTCTTATTCAATCAACTGGTGAGAATGCCAGCTCCACAACAGTCCTGTGCTTACCTAGCATCCCGCTGTGCTTTTCACAAGTAACACACACTCGTGCACACAAACTCCATTTTGTATTATTGACATTTTCTCCAAAACACATATTCTAGGACTTCTGACTCTGACTTCTGATTTTTTTAGTGACTTGATATTATTACTACTTCTTTCTAATTCAGTGGGGGTTTTTTTTTGATATATAGTGACTAAGTGAATGCTGCGGGTATTACTGGTATGGAAATGTGTGGTACGTTTCCCTCTTCTGTCACTAGTTTACTTGCGTTTTTATTCTGTCATGGGTTTCCATATGGTGTTCTGTCACCTTTAGCTTACAAAATATAAATTCTAAGCAAGGTCAGTGCTGTTCCTCACAAATTCATGTGTTCTTTTCACTTGTTCTCTACAGTATAAATGTATATAAATAGAGATCACTAGAAAAATAGCAATAAACTTTGCTTCTTAAAAGTCCTTTTGTTAGCCAATGATATTTCTGCATCCAGATGTTCAAATGTCACTTAAATAGTAGACGAAGGCAAATAGTAGGTTAATAGACAAATAGGTTTAGAAAATAATACATTAATAATGTGAAAGGAAGTGATGATTGAATAATAGATGCTGGCTCTGTTCTTATACTTGTAGAGCTCTTTTTAAAATTAACTTTGAGAGCAATATTATCAATGTGTGAAGAAGACAAGCTGCTCTTGCCTACTACAAATACCAGCTTGGACATACCAGGCATACAATATTCTCTGCTCACATAGCTTCCGAAAGCCACAACTCTTCCTAGCAGAATAATACTCTTAGTGCAGCTGACAGCTAAGTACAAGATAAAACAAATTCAGGATTTTGTTTTGATTTAGAATGTGTTTTCAGTGTTACTTTTAACACATGAAATATTAACACATAAAATACCTAAGTAAATG